GAATGTAAGGTGGAAAGATTAAGAGAGAATGCGTCTGTGCCGTTGTCAATGATTCCAAGCCCCATCACCTGAAATCTTCAATCACTGATCGCGGTTATCACTTGGAAATCAACCTGAAGATGGCACAGGTATTCAGTGTTTGACAACGCTTTTACCAGTAACACCTAATATAACTTGTACCCACCAACAGAAATCAAACGACAGAATCGAGGAGATTAGATGTATTTGACGATTGTCAATATATCGGAATTGTCTGATCTAGTCTGGCTAGCGATTGCAGTAGATGTTGAGCACGGCGTTCCTACATGTAATCTGGTGCAGATGCATGACCGAGCGTCTTCAGTTAAGTGAGTTCATTAAAACATCTGATCAACATCCAATGTCGAAAACCTACAGAGCTATTTATTTTGGGGATTTATTTACCGCTACAGATCACTCCCCCCCCCAGTGGGGTAGTGATAACCCTAAGACTTGACCAGCCAGAAGTTTAAACCCAACGAGTATGTCTTTGGTAAACACTCTTCTGATAGCTTGCTAAGTTTAGCAGCGTCTGGTCGTCTTTCCTTACTATAGGGGATTATGATGTACAATATCGTAATAATAATAATAATAATAATAATAATAATAATAATAATAATAATAATAATAATAATAATAATAATAATAATAATAATAATAATAATAATAATAATAATAGTAATAATAATAAAGAATGTACAATGAAAATTTTGGTTCCTCGTAAACCTCATTGTTTTTTTATCGTCTTTTCCAGTTGTCCTGGAAAAGAGAAAAAGAATATGTAAGTGCTTGTCGAAATAAACTCGTACGCGCTTCAAGACACAAAATGGGCGAAAAAGTATAAATAACGTAAAAGCGATTTTTACGAGATGTTTTTTGTGTTTTTTTTAAAATTTTTTGTAATATACATATTAGCCAAATAATAATATAAAAATACAGGCATATAAAAATTGATTTTTTAAAATTATATTATACCGTGAAAAATCGAGACGAAACAAAATGTTAACTAGCGTCTTACGTGCAATAGTCGTTTAAATGTTCTGCAAATCTTACTCTTCTTCCAGAACGCGTTGTTCTAAGTTTATTTTCAGATACTGTCTAAGTATCATCGTGCGTGCTGGTTGTCGGATGAGGTATTATAAGTGTCGGAGTCGTGTCGTTCGGTTGTACCGAAGGAAAATCCACGTAGATAGGATTTCCTTCTAAATACGCTGCTTTGAGGCGATCGATGCTGATGCTATCGTTGGTTCCGTTCTTATCGATTATATAGTACTTTAGTTCGCGTTGAAGAACTTCGAAAGGTCCTTCGTATGCTGATTCGAATGGTTATCGATGAGAGTCTCGACGAACGAAAACGTGTGTACTATATCGTAAGTCAGGTTGAACGAAAACATCAGTTGATTGAGGTCGAGTGGAAGCAGGTTTAACTGAATGCATTGCGTTTGTAAGCCTGTTCGTGTAGGAGGTTAGATCCATGTTCATTAAAGAGGATGAAGGATCCATGAGTACTCCTGGAAGTCGAAGTGTCGTTCCATAAACGAGTTGAGCCGCAGTGTATCCAATGTCAGCTTTCACTGCATTGCGGATACCTAGTAAGACAAGTGGAAGAGCGTCGGTCCACTGTGAAACGTTTGCAGCTGATAGTGAAGCTTTTAGTTGTCGGTGAAAGCGTTCTACCAACCCGTTTGCTTGTGGGTGGTAGGCAGTCGTTCGGAAGCGAGTGATTCCTAATAGTGTGGTCAGACGACGGAAAAGTTCAGATTCGAACTGACGTCCGCGATCTGTAGTGATGGTTGAAGGGGAGTCGAAGTTTGCTACCCATCGTTCGACGGAGGCGCGGGACACTTTCAGCAGTGATGTCCTTGATAGGTACTGCTTCTGGCCATCGAGTGAAACTGTCTACGCAGGTTAAGAGATAAGAGTATCCATTTGAATCTGGTAAAGGTCCTACCAAGTCCAGATGAAAATGGTTAAAACGAGCATCGGGAGTTTTAAATAAGCCTAAGGGACATTTATTGTGTCTGATAACCTTAGATTTTTGGCAGCTTACACAGGAGCGTGCCCACTCCCTCACGTCTTTATTCATTCCAGGCCAGCAAAACCGTTCTGCTATAAGCTTGATGGTTGCACGAACACCTGGATGAGAAAGTTTGTGCAATGTATTGAAGACATTGCGTCGATAATGTTTCGGCACGATTGGGCGATCCCTACCTGTAGATGTGTCACAAAGTAAGGTTTCCTTACCTGTTCCCATCTGTTTGATGCGTAGTTTAAGGGTTGTGGACGATAACTCGTGCTGAAGATCACTGTCTACTTTTTGAAGCTCGGCGAGTTTAAGAAGGTCGATTCCTTGGAAACTGTTCAAGGAAGTTATGCGAGATGAAGCGTCTGCAACTAGATTGTTTGCTCCAGAGATGTGTTGAATGTCTGAAGTAAACTGCGAAATGTAGTCCAGTTGTCGAGACTCACGGGGAGAGTACTTGTCAGAAGGAGAGCTTAACGAGAAAGTGAGCGGTTTATGGTCCGTGAAAAGAGTGAATTCACGACCTTCGATATAGTGTTGGAAATGCCGTACAGCACAATACATAGCTAGGAGTTCCCTACCGAATGTGCTGTACCTCGATTCGGTGTCTAGCAACCTTCTAGAGAAAAATGCCAAGGGTTGCCAGAAGTTGTTAACCCATTGTTGTAAGACTCCTCCGATTGCTGAGTCGAATGCGTCTACTGCGATGCTAATGGGTGCTTCGGTGTCCTGATGAGCAAGCATTGTTGCTTTGGCGATCAGTTCCTTAACTGTGGAGAATGCTTTTCGTGCGGTGTCGTCCAAATTAATGGATTTCGCATTTCCACGAAGTTGGTTGGTAAGAGGTTTCATAAGTAATGCGCATTTCGGTATGAAACGTCTACAGAAACTCACCAGGCCGTTAAACGTTCGTAATTGCTTGATCGTGGTCGGTTCTGAGCAATCCAGAATGGCTGCCACTTTGGTATTAAGGGATCAGATGCTTTGCGCATCTATGGTGTGTCCTAGGAAGTCTAATGTGTCAGTTCCGATTTGGCATTTCTGAATGTTTACAGTAATGCCATGTTGTTGTAGTCGGTCGAAAACAAGATCCAGATGCTAGAGATGCGGTTCTCTGTCCGGACTTGCTAGTAGAGAGTCGTCAAGATACGCATGCACGAAGTAGAAACCTCGGAAAACGTCGTCTATGAATCTTTGGAATGTTTAAGCAGCGTTTCTCAGACCGAAAGGCATTCGCAAAAATTCGTAAAGTCCGAAGGGAGTTATGGTAGTTGTTTTCGGAATGTCGTCAGTGGCCATGGGGATTTGGTTATAAGCTTTAACCAAGTCGATTTTCGAAAAGACAGTTGTACCTATCAAGGTAGCTGTCAAATCGTGAATGTGAGGCAACGGGTAACGATCGGGAATGGTTTTCGCATTCAATCGCCGATAATCACCAGTTGGACGCCAATCGTTGCGGTCCTTTTTAGGGACCATGTTCAACGGAGACGCATATGGGCTATTTGACTATCGTATGATTCCTAGGTCTGTCATGTGATCAAACTCGTTTTTCGCCAAACTTAGCTTTTCAGGGGCTAGTCGTTGTGCTTTAGAAAATACAGGTGGTCCTGTAGTCGTGATGTGATGTGTAACGTTGCTGGTTACACACGGTAGTTTCGGTTGCGTTTGGTGAATCCCAGAATACTTATCAAGTAGTGGTTGATAAAGTGGGTCTCTCGTATGCTTAATTGTGACTGGGGATAATTTGCAACCAGTAAAAGAAGTTACGCAAACGGACAAATTAGTGTTTCTGTCTACTAACCTCCGTTCGCGCATATTGACGATTAGATTATGGTGTTGTAGAAGGTCCATACCAATGATTGGCATAGAAACATCTGCAAAAACGAAGATCCAGTGAATGGGTTTGCGTAAACCCACGTTGAGGTAAACGTACCTTTTGCCATACGTAGCGATAGGTTTTCCGTTTTCCGCCTGTAATTTTAAAGCCGACTCGTGAAAATGGTCGTTGGAAGTTGCCGGGAGAGCGCTAACTTCTGCGCCAGTGTCGACGAGGTAGCGAACTCTCGCTGTCACATCTGTGACGTATAACACACGGCTATGTTCGCCGGTTACGGTTACCGTTAACGCGTGCCGGCTTGAAAGTTTCCCGAGTAGTTTTTCGAGTCAGTCAGTTGTGAGTTGGGAAAATGGCAGGGTTTACTGCAATCTCTGGAAGACTTTTCATACTGGTTATGATACCAGCACCAGTCGCGGTTATTCGTCTCTCGTGGTCTAGAGAAAGATCGCTTACGTGAAATGCTCCTACGTGGAGTGTGCGAGCGATTACAGTCGTTACGAAGATTAAGATAACGCGTGAGTGTATGACATAACTCGGTTATGTCATTCTGAGTCGTTTGAGGCTTTTCTTTGATTGAAAAAAGCTCGGTAGTAGAAGATTTCGTAATTTCTAAGGTACGATCGGCAGATGCAGCCAGGTCGTCTAAGGAGTTGTTCTGAAACGAGACCAGAACCGCTTGCACCTGTTGGGGAAGTTTAGGCAGGAAACGTTGTTTGAATAGGCATTCGTTAAAGGTTCTTATGCCTATAACCTCTCTCATTCTTTGCAACATATCCGTCGCAGAACCGTGTTGCAGGTCTATGTTATTAAGGAGTTGGTCTAACCATTGTCGATCAGTTAGGTCTCCTCGTTTAAGGATAGAACGCCTTAAGGTTTCGTACGGTTCAGAAACATTACTAGTAAGGATACTAGGTGTTACGTACGCGGTAGTGCCTTGACTACTGCGAGGAATCGTGCACAAGGACCGGTCACGCCGTGCTCGTGGAATTCGGCTTCTGCGTGGCAGAACTAGGCTTCGATATTGTCGGCCCAGAAGAGCATAAGTTGGAACGAGGGTGGGGACATAGTCTTAATCTTAAATACCTTGGTGGTCTGTTCAGTCATACGATAATTGATGCACTTATGACCACTGGAGCAGTTGATCGTATACTGAAAGAATCCGAATCACTGAAATCAACTCAACTTAAAGTAGTTAAGTTTTCTGTAAAGCATTAGCGTAGGTTGTTGAAAATGTTGCGCAATCATCAGAAAGTCTACTTAGTGAGGATAGCAGCAGTACAAAATCTTCAACTAAGCAGGCTACTTGTTCAACTCCGGAAGATCCTTGCTGGACAAATGACTTGCTGCACGTTTTTGTTCTTAGCGAGGCTGGAAAACCCATATATTCACGTTATGGAAATGAAAGTGATCTGTCCTCTGTAATGAGCGTCATGCAAGCTCTTGTTTCCTTCGTTGCGAATTCTGGAGATGAGCTTCAGTTAATCAATACAACTGACAAAAAGTTCTTGTTCGTTTCTCGGTCGCATCTTATATTAGTGGCATTTAGTCCAGTTTCTGAACCCACTCCACATCTGCTAACCTGCCTCGAATATGTATATAACCAGGTTTGTTATGTTGTCTTTTATTTTGCACTAATTTTTCACTTCATAAAAGTCCCACTTGTTAAAAATGTTGTACTTGTGGAGTAGATTTTAAAATATAACCAATTTCGACCATTCGCATTGGAACTTATCTGAGGAGGAAACTCCTAGTTCTAGTCATCAGGTGATATTTTGCGGTTTAGATGTGGTCACCACTTATTTGGATAGCTGGACAAAACAATTTAATCAAGACCCTTAATCGGTCGTGCTATATGTCAAATAAAGGTTTACCCCAGTGTCTAGCTGGAAAAGATCTTAGGTACAACTCAACTATTTCTGTGTATTCATCAGTCAACTATAAGTGTAGGTTTTTAAACTATTTTTTCCTGTGTTTTACCGTAAGGGATCTATAATGCATTCATTACTATCTAATTCCAATTATGTCGTAAGCTTTTGCACTGTTTTAGATATAACGCCCGTCAAATACAAATATATTCCTATAAATATCTGTACTTTATTTATTGTAGTTAACAATGTAAGCTGGTTAGGGAATGTACCCTTTTTTGAGAAGAGTGAGATAGTAGTTTTAGTCTGAAATCTATGCTCGTAAGGGTTTAAAGGATAACACAGCATTTTATAAAATGATAGAATCACTTAATCCTAGGTTAAGATCTATCAAGTTATGTGAATAGCTTCAATTTGAATATCATCATAAAAAGGAAGTTGTCTTCAAAACCTATAAAGTGTGTTTGGTTTATATTAATTTTTGCAGAGCAATTACACACCATCAATCGATAAAGTCGGTATCTGAATGCTATTATATGGTTTTGTCAAAATTCTAGATAATAAGCTCATTAACTTTGCAAAGAGTGGAGAAACAATTTACAAGGCATGCTAATTTGGATTTACGCAAACTCCTTGTTGGGGATAATCGACTTTTATCCTCTATCATAAATCGCGTAGAAGAGACTTTTGGGGTATTTTTGAATGCAATCAGCTGTACACCACTTCCAGAAAATAGCAGAGCTGCAATATCACAGATTATTTGTCAAAATGCCAAATTACGTGTGAGTTAGTTTTGTTGAATATATACTTTACAGATTTTTCAAGCAAGTTTTATTTATTATCTAAACATGAATATTGGTACAAAGATGCCCTAAAGTAAAATACACACCACACAATGAGAAAACTAGATTGTAAAGAGTTAGAAAAACTGAAATGAGTATGGTAAAAAACAACAACTAAATACGAGTAATAAGACAAACAGCTTGATTAAAATAACGCAGTCAAAAAGAATTCTTAAGGTTAAAAATGTTCCTCTCACCTTTTACGAAGAAAGTAAAAGGAAATCATAGCTGGATGGTCAATGGCTTCTGTTGTGAGCGATGTCTGACAACCTCCTAAGCCACGGTTGCTCCATCTCCAGCACATCAATCAGAGAGCTGTGAAGGACTGAGAGGTGCTAGTCGTGTACGGTCCCTTTCGTACCACAGGAATGTGTCATGAGACGAACACCTCTGTTTTCAACTAGTCTTGGCGTCAGCAAATAATCAACAATGTTGAATTGTCTGGGACGACATTCGTAAGATATGTTTGAGCCACCGGTGTTTTAAGATAGTAACACCAAGTAAATTATCGTCGTTGTGCCCGAACGTGCGTTGCCGAATCCTCTTATTACCAACATGGTGTTGGCACCGGATGTTAGCAATACTTCGAAGACAATGACAATCAAACACAGTGAGCCACTTGACACCCTCATAGAGCATAGAACGAAACTGCTCTCAACTTCGTATTATATATCCGACCTTCCACATTCAGATTAACATCACAAGGGCGCTAAAGATGGCCCAGATTGGCATAGGCCTCTATGGCTTTCACTACATATGAATTAATCTCATCTTTCTCGCTACTCCTTGCATTTGCACAGCGACCGGAATACTAGAAATTTTGAACTACTTCTAACTACTCGCTACCATGAGCAATTACGGCTTCGTAAAACAAATAAGCTTTTTTATCTCGAAGGCCCAAAGCAAATCTCTCATCACCTTTAAAGTCGTTGGGGCGCACTCGAAGAAATATTCGTTACACTCAACAATATATAAATAAGTTTCCCTGTATCAGGCATGGTAGTAAGACAGGGTTCAAATAACCCCTGAATTAGTTATTGCAAAACTATTCAGGGTGAAACTCAACAATTTTCTGTGCTACAGGAACGTGCAAATAACCATCCTAAAGCAATACGCATTAGCAGAGAAGTGGCAATCTATCTGAAGATTGATTGAGCTGTTATTAACTACCAAAAGCGTAGAGAAAATAGGTCAAATGTTGTATCCATTACGTCTACACTTGTTGACCAAGGACAAATGACTCAAGTAGAAACCAGAATGCAAGGGTTCCTCAGTATATATATATATATAACAGCTTAGGTTGCTTGGTTAAGATTTGACCTCAAACAACCAAGCATATGCCTGAACAGTATAGTTCAAGTGTTTACTCACTTCCTTATTTTGTATAGGTGTTATATTCCCTATTATCTTATGTTGAATGTTGAGAGGCTTTGTTTGACATATTCACTACTTGTCTGGTTTCTTCTATCAATAGCACAAGGGTTACCTTAAGGCACGATATATATATATATATATATATATATATATATATATATATATATATATATATATATATAGGCAATTAAACCGATCAGCACGTACGGTGTAATAGGAGTGAGTGGATGACAGTAGAGTGAAATGATAGCAGGATTGTATTATCGTCAGAATTAGACCTCCTAGTAGTTGGATCGGGTTTATATCGACACCGACACCTAAAATCACTAGCAATCGCAATTAATTGAATTGGCGCTGATCGTAGAATATCCGGTAGTTTTATCATAGTGAAATAAATCCAGGACTGTATTGGACCAGTTTAATCTTCAATGTATTGAGATGAATTCATGCTATCCATATCGTCACTTAGTCAGCCTCTCTCAAGCAATTTTACAACAATATAACGATGGAATATAATTAACAGACCGATAGAAATACAGGTAGTCAAACAAAGATACTGGAGGGATTCATGTGAGGCATTCGATTCGCTCACACAAACGAGCACAAGTTAAACAGTAGAACTGAAGTAATGCATTCGAGAGTCATGTGCTAATTCACGTATCTTATTCTAAGATGAGTATACAATCATATGCACTTAATATGTCTACATTAAATACCATATACTCTCTATACGTTTGAGTGGCGATCAATTTAAAGACCATAGCTATGGTTAGCTATCTAAATTGATATTAACGAGATCGGGGTTGAAGCAGCAAACGACAGGGTTCGTTTACCGGGAAAAAAACTTCCACGGTGCTGAATGCGTTTTAAGTAATGGAAATTAGTGCTTCGATTGATGTATTGGGATGAGGTACTCAGAGAAATTGCTAATAACAAATCATGCTTGTAGATGTACCATTTCTTGACCTGACCAGAGCGTCTGACTCGGTGGTACGCAATGTTGTACTGCCACGTTATCACATATGGGATTTGCAAACGCAGAACGTTCCTACCAAAAAATCATCAATAAGACCGATGGTTTTGCATCATGTTTGACAAGATGCCTTTAAGCTAGACAGGAGCGCTTTTCGAGTTGCTACAGGAAGCGATCATAAGCCCCCGATTACTCATAATGCCAATGAGTGACCTGTTCAGTTTCGTAATCGTTACCTATGCAAGTTCATAAATGTGCGAGAGTCCATCAGATATGTGAAGGATTCAAAAAAGCTCTACAAAGATCTAGTTCAACGGGGGACGTATGCAAGAAAGAAAAGCTTAAATTTTGGGATTAATGGTTACAAATGACGTTCTTTTATACGCCAGAGAAACAATAGGTATCCTACGTCTTCTTTTAACCCTAAGTAAGTACTTTCTACAGAAAACCTGGATACCAGTGGCAACTACTAGGACCCGAGCCCATTTCAGTGATATACTTCAGTTCATCAGAAGACCTTGATGCTACTGTAGTAGACTACAAGGTTAAGAAACTCTCTGTCTGAGTTATAACGTTACTGAAAAGGACAATTTTCTACTGTTTACAGAGGGATTATCGGTAACCTAATAATGGCATCTAACACAATGAGTAGCCTACGTAGCTATGATAAATCAATCGTACTTGTAGCCCATCACGAAGTACTACTTCAAGAGTCACTCATCAAAGGCAGAACATTCTGGTGAGGAATCACGAGCAATGGAAGTCAGCTAGAAGGTTAAACACAACAAGTGTCGTTGGCATACACACAATCTGATAGCTTGCTGTCCATCAGCATCTGGTCGCCGTTCACTAATATATAAAGCCATGTAGTACAACATAGCAATAAGAAACGTTCCATGAAAATTATCGGTCGTCCTACAAAAGAAAGGAATGGAGACGTAATTAAATATCACAATAAATTCTTAATTGTATAAGGAAATAAGACGTGAAAAATCCGGTATGTATGCATGCATATATCATGCGAAGGAAAATTTTGAACTAAGGATTTATTATTGTTTTACTAAAAACTCAATATGCCTATATGTAAACATATCACAAAAACGATTTTTTTAATTTGACACGATAATATGAAACGTTGAGATTACAGCCAAATAGTTGCGGGATGCACAAGGTGAGACAAAATTAAAAATAAGACAATATCTCACATCCAGTGTTTTAGAAGTCTCATCCTTCTTTCAGAGATTGTCATTTTGAGTCAATTGTCGGATATCAGACAGGTTTTGAAGTGGTCGTTAATAATCATGGAGGTCATAGTAGTTGTGAGTTTTAATTCGTCCGTTTGTTCGGGAAAAATGTAAACGTATTTACGGTTCCCTTCTAGGTAAACGGCTTTAAGACGGTCGATACTGATGTTTCTCTAGTTTCGTCCGTATAGATGATATAGTACATAGCTTAGCGCTGCAATATTTTTAGGAATCCTTCGTATGCCGTTTCTATGGTTCACTGTAATGGATCGCGACATTTGAAAACGTGCGTACAAGTTGTAAGACGAACCAGACGATAACATCGGCCGACTGATATATGGTGTAAACAGGTTAAACTGAACGCACAGCATTTGTCATGGTGGTTGTGTAGGAGTTAGATGGCGATTCCTTGAAATCGACGGAGGATCCACGAATTTCCCGAATGGTCGAAGTGTCGTCCAGTAAACGAGCAGTTCGGGGACCATGTGCAAGGGTAATGCCCATGAGCTGTCTGATGGCCGGATGGTTCTTAAAGTACTTTGATCAATTACCTCTCTGATTCGTAACAACATGTTCGTACTGACCCATGTTGCATATCAATGTTATCGAGGAAGTGATCCAACCTTTTTGTCGACTGGTTAGGTCTCTGCGTTTAAGAATAGATCTTTTCAGAGTTTCATAAGGCCCCAAAACATCACTAGTAAATATGCTAGGTGTGACGTACCTGTTGAATTCGTGGTGATAGTGCCTTTACTACTGCAAAGAATCGTGCACAAGGACCGGTCACGCCGTGCTCGTAGAAATCAGCCTCTGAGCAGCAGAATCAGGCTTCGATATCGTCAGGCCAGAATGGCATTAGCTGGAATGAGGGTTGTGTAGGGGTATTGATCTTAAGTAACTTAGGAGTCTGTTCAGTAATGACGAATATAAAGTATAGGAATGAACGAGGGGGGAGATGTCCAATAATACGAAAAAGTACCGTAATATATAACAATTAGAATAAAGAAATGATATATAAAGTTCTGAAATGGGAAAGAATCACAGTCAACGAGTTGGTGTATCAGATCACACCGGGCTCATAACTAAAGATGACACAAGTATTTTGGAGTTTGACAACACCCTGACCAGTAACAACTTCTGTAATAAAAACGTGCACACCCAGTGAAATCAGAAGTCAGAAGCGATGGGGTCCGAAGATATACTTGACAAGCTATCAATATATCGACAAGTGACTGATCTAAACTGGCTAGCGGTTGCAGGAGAAGTTGATCACAGCGTTCCCACTCGTGATCTGGTGTGGATGCGTGACCGAGCGCCTTCAGCTAAGTGAGTCCATTGAAACTAATGTGGTCAGCTCCAATGTCGAGGATTTACAGAGCTATTTGTTGTGAGGATTTATTTACCACTACAGACCATTTGAGGAATAAGACAACAGGTCTCGGGTTTTGGCGCGAAATTCACTCATCCGCTAAGTACAGTTTTGGCGTTATAGCTAATATCAGTTCGTGATGAAAACCCTAAATCTAATTCCTGACATAAACCATGAACTGCAAATCACAATTCTAATTCCTCACACTGGATTATGACTCTCATTTGGTTCTAATCATTAAATGGACATTCTCAGGGTTACTTTAGCGTCGCTCAAAGGTCGTCCATAAATTATAGTCTTACTGTCATATATATATATATATATATATATATATATATATTCAACCAGCAATTAGTGGCTATGGACTGGCTCCATATCCTTTTGTTACTCAACCCCGAGGTTGAGATCTCATTGGCTTAGTCATTTCCGACTGTGATCAAAGAAAAAGGTTACTTCAACAACTGAATTTTTGGTGATATAAACCAACAGTTGAAGATGTTAAGTGATATGCCTCGGAGTTAATCACAATTAAGCCTGAAATGTATCTACATTGCTTATAACTGAAGCGCACTTTTAGTAGTATTGATCTTACAGTTACAGTTTGGAAAGGACAGGAGGCTCGATGGCCTATGTTAGTCCTGGCAATGGTGGTCTCTCAGTTGATCCAACTTTCTTTTGAAAGAGTCGACGGATAGAGCCTCAACCACGTGCTGAGGTAGTGAATTCCACTCGTTGCTGATTCGATGGGAAAGTCGATAGTCAGCTGACAAGTAATTTGTTCTCGGCTTATGAACTTTTTTGGAGTGTCCTCGTAAATTCTCTGTTTTGGAAGACAAGAAAAATGGGGGTATATCAGGTGCAAATTTATCACTAAGCAATTTGTAGACTGTAATCAAGTCACCTCTAGTTCTGCGATATGACAACGGGAAAAGGTTCAGCTTGGCTAGTCGAGATTCATACGGAAGCTTCGCTATTCCGGGAATCAGCTTAGTCGCCGTTCTCTGAACCTTTTCCAGAAGCTCACTGTCTTTTTTAAGCAGGGGCTAGCCGCTTGTATGCAGTACTCAAGTTTAGGACGTACGAACACTGTATACAAAGTTAAAAACGTTTTAGCGTCGACATGACTAAAAGCTCTACGTATTGACCATAACGTACTAAAACCTTTGGCGGCTATTGCACGGCAGTGTGCAGTAGTCTTTAAGTCTTGACTAACGATAACTCCTAAGTCACTATATGTCTGGACGACAGGTAGCTCAGTGTTATTCATCGTGTATGTATCTGTGCCTTGATAACCGATATGCATCACAACACACTTGGAAGTATTTATTGGCAACTGCCATGTTTGAGACCATTCAGATAACTTCTTCAGGTCATTTTGAAGTTCTAAGCTATCACTCTTACGTCGTATCGTTTTCCATATCTTGACATCGTCAGCAAACAGCAAGACCGATGATGATAGGAGACAAGGAAGGTCATTTATATACAAGAGGAATAGCACTGGCCCCAAAACTGTACCCTGGGGCACTCCACTAAGCACAGTTTCCCAGCTAGATAACTTTGAGTTCACCCTTACTCTTTGTTGACGCCCAACTAAGAAGTCTTTTATCCACATCAATAAATTGCCTCCAATCCCGACTTTTCTTAACTTATATAACAGCCGGTTGTGCGGAACCTTGTCAAAAGCCTTACTGAAATCAATGAAGGCGACGTCTACAGGTAGCTTTTGGTCCTTAAGAGCGCACCAGCTTTCACGAGCCACTAACAAGTTAGTGAGACAAGAATAACCTATTCTGAAGCCGTGCTGCTTCTCCGAGAGGATCCGGTGACTGGCAGTTATATGGAAGTCGAAAGTTAAAACTGCGTGGTCACTTTTACCTAGGGGTGGCATATGATGGAGGTTCGCAACATCATCCTCATAGTGGGTCAGTATAAGATCTAATAAGGATGATTCAGTGTCCGGGTCGTACCTTGTCGCTTCTTTCACATGTTGCACTAGAGCACATGTGATAACCCCATCAACTAGTTCCTGCTCGAAAGAATTCTCCGACGATTTAGTTCGCAGATTTTCCCAGTCTACCATAGGTGCATTGAAGTCCCCTAGGATTAGACATCGACCACTTTGGGACCAAGTATTGAGACTGCTTAACAGGATCTCATTTGCCTCACAGCTTGGACTGCGATAGACCAAACCAATCAGCAGCTCTTGTCCTTTGCATTTTAGGCGAAGACTAACTAATTCACACGTCCCACTCTCATGGGATACACTATCGATAATGGCAAATGGGATAGCATTCCTAATGAATAGAGCTACTCCCCCTCCTTTGCGCTTTTGTGTTCTGTCGGCCCTTACTAACGTAAAACCCTCGAAATCAAGTTCCATACTATCTATAGCCTGTGTCAGCCAGGTTTCTGTTACTGCGATTATGTCTGGCTTTGTAGAGTCAATCTGTACACCTAGTTCCGATCGCTTATTAAGTAAGCTTCGTGCATTGATGTAACAGATCCGAAGCCTGTTTAAGTGCCTTCGTGCTCCACCCAGAGTGCCTTCGGCATCATTCTCTGTCGAAGTCTTACAACCCGAAAATTTACAATTTTCAGGTCCTTTTCGCCAGCGTCTAACCTAAGTTGTAGTTCTTTCTCGGCTTCCCGTCTTTTAACACGGTCTGCCAACGGTAGGTCCTTTCGGATAGAGACTCCTGAACCCTTTAATTTGTGTCCATTTTGTAAAATTAGGTCACGTTCGTTCGAAGAGCCGAATACTACTTTAAGCAGTCTGGAATTATTTGGTTTCGAGTCCGCTAGATTCCCTAGTCGGTACACCTTTAGCAAGGTGACCCCGGTCATATTTTGAGGCATGAGTTGATTAAGCAGCTGCCTAATCAGTACAATGTCATGCTCAAAACGAGCTTTAGGTTCAGAGCTCTCGCTCTCCTTGATTCTATGAAAAATAGCTGATCTGGACATTTAATTTTCTGTTAGTCACGAACTCTTACTCATCTCCAGTTATCGTTTCATGTTTCTCAGCCAACAGTGATCACAAAGCATTTAGTGGACGTAAAAAATCGGCATGAACAGTTTTACCACAATTTACCGAAAATTGTATGTAGATTTGATTACACATATATTAATGATTAGGAGTTGCATGCCCACCTTTCTGGGAGTATTAGTTCGGCGTTTTTGAAGCGTGAATCAATTACCAACCGTGATGTTCAGAACATTAATCCAAGTTTTGATTTTGAAACATGGAACGGGGATATGAATAGGTAATTATGGAGTTTTACTTACCTTTAAAATTATGTATGTAGGTGTTTTGATGCTTTCCGAACAATCCACAAATTAATTGAAACACCAGAGATTTTGGAGAGAGTATGCATTTTTGATATAATAGTTTATTTACCCTTTGATAAACATGCCAGTCAGTCTGTTACAACGTAGGACCAGGTACATATATACAACGGTCCAAGTTGCCACACCTCATTAGCACAACAAAACAAACACCAAATTCACAGTAGTTTCTTCGATGGCAGTAATATGTAAAGAAGGATTGCATATAAGGATATGATACAGGCAGAGTGAATTAGTTCATAGAAAGGGAGATATAAAGTAATTTTAATCTCACGGTTCAAGGCAGGACAGAGAGTTTATACACCTACACCGTTGTGATCGGTTCTGTCACACAGTCTCCAACCATTGGTTAAGATAGTCGCGCAGACCCCAACCAAGTAGTCTGCGTCTACCAACATGGCTCAGACCGGAAGTTAGTGACTTTATGGACTGATACCACGTTTTAGTCTGGCCGCCCCGGCTTTCTTTCATCCGTCTTCAACACTAGTTGTTCGATGGTAATATTTTTGTGGATGAAATTGTACTGGTGACTGTAGTGGAGTATATCAAGAGAGGCTTGTTGAGAGAGTATCTAACTATATTGCCTTCTCATAGTTAATATGGGTTATTATATGACCGATGGATGTACTACACCTCTTAGCTCTGCTGATTTCCCTCAGTGTAGTCAGGTTATGGATCTTATTCTACATTAGCCTTCGAGATATATATATATATATATATATATATATATCAGGTCTCGGGTTCACCCTTCCATCTTGACAAACCACTAGTACATATTCGTTTTTCTATATATCAAGAAGTAATCATTCATGTTATGGGAATGAAAGGAGTACCGATAATTTGTTTACATTTTCAGCAATTGATGCACACCAATTTTTACATCGGCCTCTTTATTTCCTTCCGTACTTGTTGTCAACGCTTAGACGGTTATTTCTAATGTTCTTATTTGTACAGAGTAAATGATCTTGCAATAAAATATCCCAATATCCGAATGTCAAGTTATTTCTTTCGTAGTTTTATTTTAATTGAGAAAAATTCTCGTTTAGTTCCTGAAGTTCATTTCATGTAATTGATTTTAATTTGACTGATAACTTAGATCTTTATAGTGTGGAGTATAATCAAGGAGTTTGTGAAACATTATGATGCAGATGTATGATTTTTCACCGCGAAGAAAATGTACAGAAAAACATCTCAACAGGATTTGTATTTGAAGTACCACAAAATGATACATCAAAATTATCTATATGATTCTTCAGTTGAAATTGTTTCAGAGTGTAAAAGTCTTTTTCCTGAAAATTAGGTTAAATGGCATTAGCCAGGTTCTGTTCAAATATTAAGTTCTCTAGCCACCAAATTAATCTTTCCTAACATTAACTTTGTTTTTTTTTGCATTGTTTTTGTGTTCCTGACCCTTAAAAGCGTTTATTTGTACATGTTGTTGGTGTGACATGAATTTCCATATAAAAATATATGGGTTTTACAATAATTATTATTCGTTTCACTTGCTACACGTCTACACTAAATTGTAGGCTACAACTTCCGTTATTGAAGAATTTCATCAAGAAAACGTCATTCTTTTGGAATTGAGGACTACGTTACGACCAATTCCAACTCATCGTTCTTATTTGAATGCGGTAATCAGAGGAATACAGAATGCACCGAGTGTACTTGATAATAAAATATATGTGACATTAATACTATCTATAGACAGGTCTAAAAGTCTTGATGAAGCGTTACTCACTTTAGAGTTAGCAAAGGAATACTATTCTAATGGATTGGTATCAGGCATTGATCTCAGCGGGAATCCACTAGTAGGTTCATCTGTTTAAAAATTCCTAATGACTTAATTTTCATAATCTCATATTTCATTGTACTTCCTCTACTAAATTGATCCATAACTCAACCCAACAATGTTGTATAATCACTTAGTCGGTTCTACTGTGCTTTATTTCAGGGTATTTACTAGTTGTTCATATCACACCTGATTAATTGGAGTTACTTATAAACCAGTCGCTGGTAATGTGTTTTTATTATTGTCTGATTGTAAAACTTAAATGAAAATAATAAAATTATAACACGTATCAAATGCTAGAAATTAAGGTATTATGTATATGATAGCTTAAAGAAAATTTAAATGCTTTATAAGAAATAGTGTGTTTGTCAGTAATAATAATAATAGTGTTTCGAGATGTTTTCCTACCAACCAATTCATTTTTGTGTGGAATCCGATGATTGATAATCTACTTATTGGACGTTTTGCTGTTAAGAATTTAAATGGAGTACTCGAAAGATAAAGTTACTAATAAGATCCGTCATAATACTCGCCAGCAAGGTATATTTGAGTGCACCAATATCTTAGTGTTCAAACAAGTTATTCAAATAGAGCAAGAACAAAAAACGTGGTAGAATAACATGAATTCTTTTTATTTCATGGTTTCATATCAGCTGCATACAACTTGAACATAATAGTATTATTCATTAAAGATTAGTGTACATACTTGATATCACAATAAAGCAAATGTTCTTATGGATAATGATTAACAACCTTACTGTAGCTGCTACCTTGTCATGGTGGTCGGGCTTGCCTATCGTGATGACCCAACCGAGCTATACTAGCTGGAACATATGTTCCTGTAGGTTCTACCATGCCAAGCAGGTCGACTGGAGAATGGTAAGACTATAAGCAGCAACTCAAGATCTGAGGGTGAAGTCGTACTGATGACTGTAGAGGGGTGTGACAGAAGTAAGGTGTTTCCCTTAGCAATCAGCATGGGCAGCGATACTGCTTTCTCACATGGAAGGAAGGGGTTAGAAAAGGTCATTCATTTGACCTCACCATATCGAAATAAAGAACCATTTCGACTCACGCTTCTTGTATCTAGAAACCCTGATACTGCTTTTCAAGGTCTGGTTTGTGTAGGTATAGCACTGGGTCATAGGGCGGAACTAGCTCTCTTAGACTAAATCCCAGTAGACAGTCGTTTGTGCGCTGTCCGACTAAACGGAACAGTAAGAACTCGTGAAGATAGGGACACTCGTCGTTGCCTCTTCGTCGTCTCTACCTACTCTCCCATTGACTGCAGCTCAGATGATGTAAAAGATGAGTTTTACAGCAAGCTTTCTGACCTCCAAAAAGTTGGGCACTCTGATGTAGTAATAGTGGCTGGTGACTTTAATGCTCAAGTAGGTAAACTAAGCGAATGGGAAAGACACCTGAGTGGATCTTATAGTGTCGTGACTCAAAGAACAGATAATAACGACCGTCTGTTGCAATCATGCTCAGATAACCGCCTGTTCCTAGAAAACACTAACTTTAAGTATAAGGAAAAACACTTTATGACATGGCGACCTCCAAATTCATCCCAACGTTTGACCCAAATAGATCACATCGCTATCAGTCACCGATGGAGGGGCTCGATAGAAGACTTTCGCTCATTCTGGAGCACATACTTAGATTCAGATCATGCTCTAGTACGAGCGCGTATCTGTCTGCGTCTTACTGGACGTAGGAAAGACGCTGCAAGGAAACCTCTTAGGGTGCTACTTAATGATAGTCAAGCTAAGAGTATATTTCAGGAACAACTAGGAAAACAGTTAGGCAGCCATGTATGTGATGCCCACCCCGATGCAGCATGGAATGATATCCGGAAAGCTGTGGAAACAGCAGTGATATCTGCTAGTACGGTAACCCGTAAGGTTAGGGAGAAACACTGGATTGCAGCAGCATCTATCGCACTGATTGATGCTCGAGAACTCATTCCATCTGGCTCCGAACATAACGAAGAGCGGAGTCAGCTTAAGCGCAAGTTGACAAGAAGTCTACGCAATGATCGCGAACAGTGGTGGGTAGCGAAAGCAAGAGAGATGGAAAAGGCAACGGCAATAGATAACAGCAGACAATTGTTCAGACTTGTTAAGGAAAGTGGTATTAGGAACCCAACTGTTAGCGAAAGTATTTCCGAAAAAGATGGACATATACATTCTCAATCCAGGAGATTGGATCGATGGGCAGAACACTAGGGATCAATCCAACTTGCCTTCGGCCACACTTCGGTTTCCCACGATCATCAGTCGACATGAATGGCAAGTTGATGTAAGTCATTCAACTCTTTACAAAGTTGAAAAAGCTATAGGAAATCTGAAGCTTGAAAGAACATCAGGCCCTGACAGCTTTATCACTGAAATTTCTAAGGATAGCGGTTCAGTATTAGCAGTGAGGTTGACTGAATCCTTAGGTAGAATCTGGGAACTGGACGTAATCCCATCTGACTGGTCTCAACCACTGATTGTACCAGTCTATAAGAAAGGACAAAAGTCATCTTGTGACAATCACAGAGGAATCAGATTGACAAATATAGTGTCTAAGACATTAGCTTCAATGTTACTTCGACGCCTGAGTAAAGCTCATGAAGAACAGACTAGAGAAAATTAGACTGGTTTTCGACCTGGACGTGGTTGTATAGACCACATATTCACACTACGTCAGGTTCTAGAACACAGACACACATTCAGACGCCCCATAATGGTAGTATTTCTCGACCTTAAGGCAGCATTCGACTCTGTTGATCGTAAGGTTCTATGGCAGTGTTTGTCACTGAAAGGAGTACCAAAGAAGTACATTAGCCTTATAAAGGCTCTCTACTCGAACACAACTGGTAGAGTGAGAGCTTATGGCGAACTGTCATCAGAATTGATTATCTCAAGTAGTGTTCGTCAGGGCTGTCCATTGTCTCCATTCTTGTTCAACTTTGTCGTTGACGTACTTTTAGAGACAACACTTTCCTCATCTAAATTTCCAGGGGTTGAACTTCTACCGGGAGGTTCACTTGTTGACTTAGAATATGCTGATGACATGGTTTTATTCGGTGAAGACGCTGACAAAATGCAGAGTCTTCTGACCACTCTAAGCAACAATGCAAGCATGTTCGGGATGCGATTCTCCCTCTCGAAATGCAAAATGTTCCTTCAGGATTGGGTTACATCAAAACCTGTACTAATGACAGAGTGAAGTAATTGGGCGTGTCGACCGCTTTACTTATCTTGGAAGTCTCATCAGCCCTTGTGGCTTGGTGTGTGACGAAATCTCAGCACGGATACAGAAGACTCGATTAGCTTTTGCCAACTTGCGTGGTTTATGGCGTAGGCGAGATATCCGTCTATCAACCAAAGGACGTGTTTACTGCGCAGCAGTTCATTCCGTCCTACTTTATGGCAGTGAAACGTGGCCGGTAAGAGTAGAGGATATTCGTAGGTTACTAGTATTTGATCATAGGTGTCTTCGAAACATTGCTCGGATATCCTGGGACCATCGAGTAAGTAATGCAGTTGTCAGGAAACGGGTACTAGGTAAGGATGGCAACTCAATTGATGAAGTAGTGAAACTTCATCAGTTGAGATGGCTGGGACACGTGTTGCGTATGCCCAACGATCGACTGCCTCGACGTGCTATGTTCAGTGGTATAGGAGTAGATTGGAAGAAAGCTAAGGGCGGCCAGACCAAAACATGGCACATGTCCATAAAGTCATTGGCAAGTGGACTGAGTCATGTTGGTAGGTGTAGACAACCTGGTTTGGGTCCGCGAGACGATAGCAACCGATGGTTAGAGACCCTGAATGACATGGCTCAAAATCGTTTGAAATGGCGCAGGTGCATTTACTATTTGAGTTCTCCCAAATTTTAATCTTCTGGTTTCTTCGTGTCCCTTTTTTCTCTTCCCAAATTTATTTCACTGGATTATACTCCTTGAATAACATCTTCAAACCTTAATGTTTCCTATAACTGCTTATACTCTTACTACCTCTACCGCTACGGGATTTGAATCGACAACTGCATCTTTGTGCTAATGTGGTATGACAACTCGAACTGATGTACGTGCGTAAGAAGTTCTACGTTGTTTCTGACTGACTGACTAATGATTAATAAAAACGTTATAAAAAGGAGGAATTATAAAAGTTGGAATGTTTGCGAAATGAACTCATTGGGATATCGCAAATAGTATATTTATTATTAACTTTCTACCCAATGCCTAATTTATTTGAAACTATCAAGTTCAACCTTGGCATTGATACCTATTGGCCTATGATCAGTAGTCACATTAAAATATTCACCATTGAAAATTAGGTAGCATGACGATAATTACTATTAAGTGAGCAATTAGTTTACACGATTATTTATGTGAGTAACGTCTTACAGTGAATGTATGCCAACTAGTAACTTTGTCTATATTAATTTCTTACCCTGTGCAATATACTAATTACTTGTTAAGGTAATATGAGTTCGAAAACTTTATCCACAAGTTAGTAATCATGTATATAAACTGTCGAACTACAGATCCATTAGCTTACGTCTGTAGACTGTTGTATTCTACATAGGTCTCACGTAAAATTGGTTATCTTGGTTTAAATACTGACATTTTTTTCTAAGAAACTACTTGATCCGTATATTTTATTAGATCAATTTCATTTTAAGTCATCACTGTAGACTGTCTGGCTTAATAGTCTTAGTCCCTAATCCACTGGTCATATGGTCGTATACGTTGTATGAACTTGTTTAATAGTCGTTTTATGTGTACCTAAACAATTAATATACAAAACAACACATCGACAAAGAATTTATTGCTTCAAACTTCAGAAGCGTTATAATCTTGTTTTATTGTTATTTTTGGTATTGACACTACATAAATGACTAGTTATTTATTATTATTTATTTATTTGAACACATAAATATTGGTACAAGAGAGCGCCAATATATATGCGCCACACAAAACAATGGGAATTCGAAGAGAAAAAAAAAAAAACTAAGGAACGCAAAAGAAAAAGAGAGTAATGACGAAGAGGTACAATCAGAAGAAATCTTTCAGGTAAAGGAGACACAACCACTTTTTATGAAGAAAGTAAAAGAAGGTTACAGCAGGATCGCCACTGGCTTCTATTCTGAGCCATATCTGATAACGTCTCTAGCCACTGTGTAGCACCATCTCTCGGACCCCAGCCAGGGAGTCGTGAAGGACCAACACAAGCCAGTCCTTTGCAGCTTTCTTTCATGCCACGACACCATGTCATGCACTGACCAAGGCAGCCAGTTTGAATGATGCACGTGGTTTCAGAAAATCTGCTTCAGTCCTCGTATTCGGTGGTAACATACAATTTACAACCGGACAGTGACTCGAGAACGTTTAGATACAGTCGGAATTCCACCAAAGACGAGCCGCTGTATAAGTATAAAAGAAGGTGAATAATGTGGAAAATAATAATAATAATGATAATAATAACAATAATGACAATAATAGTAGTAATAATATTAGTATTAATAATGACAATAATTGTAGTGATCATAATTTGAATCAATTGATTGTTTTTCAAAGCGACAAAGGTAATTTCCATGGACATAGAGTTCATCATTTGTGTGTGGGCTGTGATACTGCCCGGGTGCCCAAACCGAAGCAGGTGGTTCTCTTAGGGGGCCACTCCCCGAGCCTTTGACCTAAAGGTCTAACCCACAAGGCAGTGGAGCATCGTAAGGAGATGCAGTCCCATGGTAGCCGGTGACCAGCGATTGGTTCATACGCCATTCGTTCCCGCAGGATACTGGAGCCCATGTGCACCATTGGTTTGGAATCCGGTTAAAGCGCCGGACATTCGCTTTTCGTCCTCTCATTTTCGTAAACAACCCCCCCGCCACGAGAAGGCAATGAGTAGGACTTCCCTGGCAGAGGCTATATACGCGTGGCCGTGTGAGAGTATTTCGAGAGGGAGAGCGGACTCTCCCCACTCTCGGCCGTACCAGGGCATTCAGGGGGCTAAATGACTAGTTATATGTTACAAACGTTAAGGTAATAAACTTGCCATGCTTATTTCTTCCTGTTTATGAATAATTAATGCCATTGTAAAGTAAAACAATGTTGATGATTTATAATATGTGGGGATTAATACAGATTATTCTATGATAGATAATATGTAACGTATAAATGTAAACTAAACTTAAAAGTTGAAATTACTGTTAAGTTTTCATGTTCATCTCACGAATACTTTGTTGACCTTATACAAATTGAATAACTTCCATTCAAACATGTTCAAAGATTTAATTTATTTATTATAAAGGTTTCCATTCACTTAGAAAAAACTGTTGTTTAATTTGGTATACAAGACAACTGGCAATAATTTCAACCTATGTTGATTTTTGTTTCAGGTAGGAAATTTATGTGATTTCGTTTCAGTTCTTAATACAGCTCGTTCGTACGGTTTAAAAACAACAGTACATATAGCTGAAACAGCTGATCAAAGTGAAGATTGGTCTAAATTTCTTAGACTTCATTTGCCAGATCGACTGGGGCACGGAATATTTTTGACCAATTCAGATGAGAATTCTGTTTTAGCAAGAGAAATTGTTTTGAAATCTCAAATACCTTTAGGTATAGTTCATTTTTATTGTTAATAAGCTTGTTGCCAAACAGTTCACTAACAAGAATATCTATCAAGTATACTTTGTAATTTTTTATTTTCCATTGTTGAATAGTCAGTATTAGTAAAGCTAATTATCGAAACTAAAGAGTAACTGAGTAGTTGGTGCGTTGATTTAGAGGTCAATGCAACCGACTCCCAACTACATAGTTGTCGATTCTTATATCACTGGCTTTCACAAGAAATTTGTCACGTAAAGCCAAGTATATATAAAACATGTATTTGACACCTGAATCATCTCAACAATAACGGCTCCTAAACTTAGTCAAAAACTTCAACTCCCCAGGATCAATATGTAGAACTTAAACCTCGGAGATGGGTATTGTTTTTTACGTGTGATAGATATGTAATTCAACTATTCCGAACATGCTATAGGGAAGTTTTTTAAAACTGAAGAAATTTTCCCGCCAAAGAAATAGTGACTTATTGGATATTAACACATCCAAACTACTGTAAACTATCATTCTAGAAACTACGAACTTATGCAATTCTGTCTTATGTTATTTCGTGTTCATGTTCATGTGTGTTAGCAGTCAAGGTGTTTATAATCTCTACTACGTTTTGCTACTTTGGTTTATGGATTAGTTATTAAATTGCCTGTAAGCTTACGTAAAGTCTGACTATTTAGGGATCTCTAGCCAATCCAGTGTTGTAGTAGTTTATCAGGTTTTTATCCCCCTTCAATTCATTTAGTATAGTCCTGTAATATCACTAGGCCTCACACAAGATGCACATTCAAACTCCAGTGTATAAACCTATGCTTGGTTGCCGACTTGCATAGGATAATTAGTATTTGAGTTTAAATAGGGATCCGATGTTCGCATTCCATTCAGCTCAATACTATCCCGTTACTCAGTTGGTGTAGTCAGTATTCTGTCACATTGCTGACTGGTTGTTTTTCTACAGCTTTATTGGCAGTCGATTGATTTGCAGCACATTCGTTTACAATGTTATCAAAAGACTGATAGAAAAGTATATATATATATATATATATATATATATATATATATATATATATATATATATATATATATATATATAATTTCACGGTACTGAGTTAGTAGTCTTAAAGGAACACGATGTCAATATGATATAGATGATGTTATCATAAGTCACAAATGAACTTGTTTTCTCCCTCATTTCGTTGTAACGCATGTGTCATAACAGACTAATGATACTTGAGAAAAAAGCAACTTATATTTATATGAAAGTATAGATCGTATACACAACATTTCATTCTGTACTTGTTCGTACTTACGCATTTTTCATTTCATCTTTTAGCCAGAACTCTTTTTGTAGCGCTCAATTCAATGTTTTTTATCATAATAATAATAATAATAATAATAATAATAATAATAATAATAATAATAATAATAATAATAATAATAATAATAATAATAATAATAATAATAATAATTTCGAGTTTATCAGTAAAATTAGATGTTTATATATTTTTCTGACATTCTGAATTGCCTAGCTAGAAATACAAGTGATAATGCTAATATGATATCACAGAGAGCTCCGTTTAACTTTCATCGGATATATTTCATAAACATTTCATTTGTATTGGTTGTTCTATGGAATTCGGATTGTTTAAAAACCAATGATACTGTTAGACTAAATCTAGCTACTTTACTCTTACTCCTAAAGTACTGGATTTTAACCTGTTGTATCACTATTTTTTAAATGGAGCATAAACATTTTTGTTGAATAGGTACATCAATATTATAAAATAATCTGTCACTTTATACCTCATTCAAATCAAGTTTTTTTTATAAATGCAAATCTTTTAAAATAGAATTATGCTTGACATCAAATGTTAAGTCGAAAGCTATTGAAAACTATGAATCTCATCATCTAAACTATTGGATGGACAAGAAACATCCTATTTGCATTTGTGTAAGTCGGTTATACTTATTCTTATCCTATCGACTTTACATATTTATCCTACGTACATACGATATGTATTGATTAAATAGTTTACTATCCACGGTTACCCTTACATCCTATTGTCACGAAGCATTTTTGAAGACACGATACTTTCCGGTTGAATGTATCACTGAAAAGTTCTCAAGTTAGTTGAGATGTTAAAGTGTAGATGCTTTATGTTTGCATCTCTAAAAACATTACAGATTAAGTGGGAAAATTGATATAAGTTCCATCAGATTGAATTACCATATCCTTTGACAATTAGGTGTTGTTGAGTAATGAATTCTAAGTGATATCTGTATTTATCCAGTTTTGGGTGGTTAGTACGATTTATTAAGTAAGAGCAAATATTTTTTATCCTAAGCCAACTTTTTATACTTCTCCAAAAGTGAATTATAATTAGTCGTGAACAGAAACAAGCAATCTTACGGGTCAAGCTTATGGAGGGAAATATTTCAATGATCACTCTATATGCATTAATTATTTTCTCCTACGAATGTTGTTTACCAAAAATGGAAACTCAGAAAAGTATGGATTTAATGAGTCCAATTCAGTGTAAACTAGTTTTCAACTGGAATATATGCCTGTTTATCATGGTTGTTTAACTTCATTTATTCATAGTTGTGTTATGAACGGGATCACAGAACCAGTGTACTCGTTCAAGCAATTAGTCATTTGTTTTTTAAACCAAATTTGTTTTATAATTAGTTTTTATTCTTTAGAACCACATAGGCACAAAGTTTAACTTCTCATTCAGTCATTTTTGCTTTGTCTTGTAGATCATAAGCAATTGTATCCATACTTGAACTATTTTTTATCTAAAAGTTTCGTCTTATAAGACTGCGTGTTCAGTGTTACTTTACAGTGAAACACTTAAATTAAAAGTAAAATGTAGCTTGTTCAAACACTTTAATTTCTACTTACTGATGGTTTTTAATGACCTGCAACCTTATATGTGACTGTCTGCATGTTTTTAGATTATTACCCATTGTAAGGATGTTGCTATAGAAATTATTGTTAGTGGATGCATCCGTTAATTTCAATTTGGTCTTCGATTTCCATTAGGTTTATTATTTTAAGCCAATAAATTTATTATTACACATCATATATGCCTCGCTAAGTCTAGTAACCCCAAGATATACTACTCGCTCTTATGGATTTTATCTTGTTATTTTAGTAAAATATATACATGATTAACCTTGCAAAGCATCAAGGTTACCTAAATATAATGACTTTTCTACCGCTACTCGCTTTGCATGAATTTATGGATTCTCAGTGTAAAATAAATTCATCATCATCCCAATAATTTTCATGAGTGGTTAGGAGCATAACCGACAGCATAAGTCTCGTCCCTTATTCGGAGCTTGTTAGATATATGCAAATAGTGAGTATCACTAAATAAACACATGTTTTTATGCATGGCTTTGAACCATATTTGTCTTGTAAGAGCTAAGGATACTGTTCAGCTACCTATACTGTATTAAATAGAGTGACGTTCGAACTAAAAACCCAATAATGGTTGAAAGTCATATACTTTAATTACTAGATCAGCAGACTTAAATAGTGCGTGCTATCGGGTCTTAGCGAATATTTTCTTCACTACTCGAACTTAAAACGTATAGTTTCAAACAATATCACAATCCGCAAGTTTATAGAGTTACAGTATCCGTGTCTTGTTTGATGAATATAAAACGTCTGGATAGTGGCAATAGTTAGTCAATTAGTTTTCATAAGTTGACATTGAGAATGTTTGTTCTCTAATAGCATTTGCTGCTATATCGTTATAGTATGTTAATAATTGATGTATATGATCACAATTTCTGGGAGTTATTTCATAATTTACCGTTTTTATTTATTCTTATAGACGGATGATAAAGGCCTATTTAATTGTACGCTATCAGGCGAATTTCAACTGTCTGTTGAACGTTGTTGTTTGAATAATGAACAATTATTTCAAATCTTAATGGACTCAGTGAATATGGCGTTTTGCACTGAAAACGTGAAAAAACAATTGTCTCATAAAATCAGAGAATATTTCAATAGTTTTATATTTGATAATTTAAACAAAAAATAATATTAACTTTGTAAAAATATTTTGTTATAAAAAGTAAATTTTGCTATTGGATTCATTTTTTTGAAGATTTTACCAATTTGAATCCAGGAAATGTTGAGCAACCTGTTATTTAAATAGAGCAAGAACAAACATTGATGCAGAATAGTATGAATTCATATTATTTCGAGGTTTCTCGTCAGCTGCTTACAAACCAAAATTGTGATAAAATTTTTACATGGAGATAGTGTGAAACAATTGACATAAATGAGTGTAAATAACGTGATTACAATAATAACTATATATATATGCTAGAAACAGGTCAGGGGTCAAAAGAGAGGGTTAATCCAGGGTGGGTGGTGTAATAATTTAGTGAAGTTCATAAATTGTGTGATAACTGTAGAGATTAATGGAATTAACCCCCTCTTTTGACCCCTGACCTGTTTCTAGCATATATATATATAGTTATTATTGTAATCAAGTTATTTACACTCATTTATGTCAATTGTTTCACACTATCTCCATGTAAAAATTTTATCACAATTTTGGTTTGTAAGCAGCTGACGAGAAACCTCGAAATAATATGAATTCATACTATTCTGCATCAATGTTTGTTCTTGCTCTATTTAAATTCATAAAGGGAACCAATTGTATGAAACCTGTTATTTCCTATGTCATACGATCATGTTGGTCTCTGAGAGATAGAGGGAGAATTTCATGCACATAAAGATAAGTTGACCTTAGGTTTTGGAGTAGAAGCTTCCTAGTGTAGTGAACAAGGATACGGGTGGTGACAATCGAATGTGTTTGGACACGAGATTACAGAGTCACTTGGTAAAATCTGAGAACCATACAGTAAATACTTAATTTGCAAAATATCAGTCAATTGTCTCAAACTTGACTTTTTATTTTGCAAATATAAGTCCATCGTCTTAGATCTCATTGTTCCTGTATTTTCATACCAATTGCTTTCCGTTCCCGTTCTTTCCTTCTCGATCTTTTACTGAAATGCATTCTATTATTGACCACCGTTATATGCTACTCATTTGGATATAAGTAGCTCACACCACACTAGCACAATTTCAGCTGACTTCAAACCTGGGAAATGACATCTTTCCAGTTCATAAGATATGACTTAATTCTTTCACCTGTACAGAAATTGAGGACATTCAAGATAGCTAAAATTATTTTTCGATAAAAAATGTTTGATTGGTCTATAAACTAATGTTGTTCATATCCTTAACTTATATAAGCAAATTAGCTGCAATAACATGGCTCTCTTGTCATGATGAAGTATTTGAATTATATACATTGGATGTTTGTTCTTTCACATTATGTCTGCCCCGAGAATGTTGAAATAAAATCAGTGGGTTTGTAGGTTGCTGCCGCTTAACTACTTTCACCCTCCTATCAAGTAGTACTGGTCACGTATCAAGTTACTATGATAGTCATTCTTAATGGTCACTTCAGAAATTGCGAGATGTGATTTCTTAAAAGGCTTTAGAGCACTCGGTTGCAGTAACTAGTGAAGTATGTAGTCGATATGTGAGTTCTCAATCCTGAAAGACAAATGATGGCGACCGGATCCTTTTCTCTTGTTTTAATATTCACTGGTTTAAGGCCATTACCAAAGTGAAATATGATATGTTACTCTGATGTTGTAGTTTGTCAAAGTAATCTATACAGTTAACACTAACTAAATCGATATTGACCACTGTTTCAAAGGATACATAACCATATCTCAGATTGTTTTTATATCCAGAGCTTTTTTCCATGAAAGTAAGCATGAGTGAAACAAAATAAGGGAATTTCTGAGTAGTTCAATCGGTCTAGAGGTCGAATATCTTTCCACAATCTAGCTGGTGCATTAACTCTAAAATTATCACATAATTAATCTTATCTGTCTCTGAACTTCACTCAACGATTACATCACCCATCCCTAATGTTTCCTTGGTTCTAACACCAAATGACCTCTGACCTGTTCTTGCATATGTATAAAGTTATTATTGATGACCTTTGTCATTTCGATTCTTTACATTCACTTATGTCAATTGTTCCACACTGTATCTTACCTCAATGTAACATTCTAATACATATTTGGTTGTAAGCAGCTGATGAGGAACTATGAAATATAGTGAATTCATATTATTCTGCATCAATGTTCATTCCGCCCTTATTTAAATTCACAAAGGGAACCAATTGCATGAAACTCTATGACCGTTTTAACAACAACAAAAAACATGAGTTTCAAGATTTCAGCGTTTTTAAGATCAATATTTATTTGATACATTACTAGAACTTGTGAGTCCATAAGTGTTTACTTAGAAGAATTGTTGTGGTTATTAATTTACTTACATGTATTTGACATAGAATTTATGCAATGTGCATAACTTTAAGCTTTTATCTATGTCCAAAACATAAACACACTACCGTTACTGAAAACTTATTAAATCACTCAAAGGTAGTTAACTTATAGTTATCAGTTTGACTAATCGAATGAGTAGGCTATGAGATCTCTTATAATAGGAGTTGAGATGATAATACACATGGTGAAAGGACAAAATGAAGCAAGAAAAACACTTCACAAAAAATGATGAGTTCATTTTGTTTGTAAAACTTTTCTTTACACGTATACAGCTTGAAGTAAAATAATGCAACATACAGGATAAATTAACTCATCTTAACAGATAAAGCATGTAGATGAGGTTATTCAACTAAGTTTAATCCGTGACGATAGCGTTCTTTAAGTAAGTTTAAAGCCGTGTTTTTTTGATGTCTTAAAACTTTAGAGCGCTAATACAAATACGATGGTGCGTGTAACCTTTTTATTGTAGATCGGAAGATTGTTACACAGTTATAGTACAATCATATCCCACAGCATGTCGAGTTGAGAATGGTGAATATTACCTCCTGAGTGTGTCTTTAATTCTCGAGAAATGGCAACCTGTAAATAAATGCTGCTCAATATGTGTCAATGTAACCTTAGAGTGTAGATGATAAGATAATTCATTAAAATAAGTAGAATTAAGCAAACAATTTGGAAAGAATATCAAAACACGGAGAAGTTATGGTTTCCCAATTATTTTCTGATTTAGTCATCAGAAGTCTACGTTTGAATAATCATGATACTTCTATTATTTTAGGATAACTTCAAAAACGTTATGCAAACTAATATAAGTGAGAGTTTAATCAATATTGTATAAAATAAACAAGTTTTACTTGGTACAAAGTATTATTACCATTGTTTGTTTTTTTGTATCTGATCGAGCTTATCTCTAAACCAAAGATTTTCATCTTCATTTCAGTACTGATGAATCGATTGTCGAATAAATAATTAATCAGAAGGACTTTTGTGGATATTTAAATAATTTTAATAGTTCAATTCATGAATCAATTGAAACTAGACCGCCATGGGAAACCTGGAAGCACTGGACTTCGGCTTCGTCCTAGTATGGGACTCCTCAGCAGTGCGCATCTACGATCCCGCCTCGCGAGATTCCAACCCAGGACATATCGGTCTCGCGATCGAACGCTTAACTTCTAGACCACTGAGTCGGCCGACATCCAACGGTGGTAATGTCTAACTTCAACTAATTCAAGAAATTGAGCCACCGTCCTCCATTGTCTTCAGTGAGTTACTATCTCACAAAAAACCTGGTTGAACTCCACTGGTCACTACTTCTCACTAGAACTGCAGGAAACACCTCTGGAATCCAGTCACTAGTGAGCATACTATGATTCTTATCAGAATGAGAGTTTGTGGAGATTTTAGTAATTTTATAGTTGAATCCACAAGCCAATTGAAGCTGTCTCATGACTTATAAATCCAACTATAAAATAATTAATTTTCGATAAATTTGCAGTTAGATATTTTTCGTGCAATTAAATTCAAATACATTGAGAATAAACATCTTATTCATGTAAATAAATGATACGGATCCAAGTCTGTTTAATCGTTAAGCCATCTTCTCCTTCACTACAAATGTGAGAATGTTTATAAATAGACAAAAATGATTTATCACTAATTATGAATAGTTTTAATTTTGATAATATGAATCTGTTTGTTGTTTTATTCCGTTTCAATTTAATTGATGAGTTATTATAAAAAAAGTAAACTTTCTTTAGATTTAAGCAAAATAGGTTGTATAATTTTGTATATTATTTAATCAACATAATTGTCAGTAAACTGTTTTATAACAAACATAAAATGTACATACCAAGCACTAAATATTATTGATAAGTATCAAATGAAGAGAAATAACCCACTAAATAGTTTTCTAAATAATGTCAGTCTATGATTTAAAAAAAGTCTCATTCAATGTATATGAAGAATTTGTGCAAAATCAACCAAAGCAAATATTCTTTTAAAATATCGGCCATTGACAATTATAAGTGATCTATGATAATTATTATAATTGATTAACGCTTGACTAAATGAAGTTGGCTCACATACCTTCTCCACTGAGCTTCGTTTCTCTTCGCTCTATTTCATTCGCTTCTCTTATATTTTGTCTAGATCAGAGATTTTATGAAATATATGTATTCTAAATTCATTCTTGTATTTGACTTATTTAATTCCGTTATATATATATATACTTTGAAATATTAACCATCACTATTCTTCGTAGAAACAAACAAACTCTTGAATCAATGTAAGGGTTTTGGAGATTGTTAAGTTTTGATTAAGATCATGAACCAATTGATGTTAGACTACCATTGAAAACTCGGAAGTACTGAACGGCCGCTTTGTCCTATTGTGGGACTTCTCAACAGTGCGCATCCATGATCCGACCCGCGGGATTCGAACCCAGGGCCTTCAGTCTCGCGCGCGAACACTGAACCTACTGAACCACTGAGCCGTTACTCAATGGTGTTAATGTCTAACCTCAACCAATCTACGAAATTGCGAGATCGTCTTCCATTCCCACAACGCCTACACTGATAATTACCATGTTCTCACTAGTGACTAACTTCGTGAGAAAATTCTCGGAGTTCTGGTGAGAAGCCGTGACCAGTGCAGCTAA